CCTCATGCTTGGTTTGACACCCCAAACCAAACCATGCAATGCATGTATACAAACATGGCTTAAAAATGCAACGTGGCTCAAATATGTAACATGAGGCTAAGTTACAAGGCATGCCAAATACAAGGTAACCTATCATGCAAGAATGTAAAGTGCCAAGTATGCAATGCTACAATGCGATGCAACCTAACATATGATGCAAGCATGGTATAATGTAAGCACGTAATTAGAGGCAATATGTCAAACATGCAACTATACACAAAGAGGGACTTAAATCGAAATGGGAGGCCTCAGCCACACCCCAAAACAGTGGCCAAAAGATGATGCAAAAGGGGACAAATTATGCATGCAAGTGTGCACACACCAAGGCCCATCACCCAAGCATGGAGGGCTACTCTCAAGAACACTCAGATGTGATATACATGGACATTAAACACTCATGTTAAACTCTGAAAAACATGCCAAGAATGATGCCAAAACATGCTAGGGAATGGATGCAAAAATAGAAGGGATTCAAGGCCACAAAAGAGAGCGTTGCTCAACACCTACCCCAAGCACTCATGGCGTGAACTAAGCAACCAAAAAAAAAAAGAAGAAAATAGTTTCTATGCATCAAAATACACCCCAAAACCCACTGATATGGTAGCCTCAAATGCCTAAACATGGTATCATACACAATGACTCATTTCTAGTCATAAAAGAACAATCCTTCAAGGCATGAAAGGGGTGATGAATGCAAGCATGCAAGCATGGATTAGGGACAGAAATAGCATGAGAAGTGATTCCAAATCGCTGAAATAACCCGACTAAAGCATGCTCATGACTCACACCCTCAAGGCTCACAAACTAAAATACGAAAGGGCTACCCTAAACACGGCAAACATGACCAAAATAGTTCCCGAAGACCTCAAGCATGGTAAGACATGGCTAAGAACTTCACAAAGTTAGGCCAAAACATGAGAGCATGGTAGACTAAATACGTGATGCACTTCTAGGCAAAAGAGAGAAATACAAAGCAAGTATATTAAGCATGGAAGGGGTCACTAATCCGACCAAAAACAGAGGCATAATATGACCCAATAACACCCAAAAAAAACACCAAATAACCTCTTAAATAAAGCCAAACAAAGCTAGGCATGCATGCTACCTTTATAAGCCTTAAACACAAGCTAAAGAGACACAAAGGGAGAGGGGTGTCCCTCCCCTATGCAAGACCTCAAAACCCCTTCACCACTAGTGAAAATCCCCTGGATTTCAGTGGTGAGAAGGCCAATACACAAAAGTCCCCAAAGCTTATCAAAGAGAGCACAAAAAGGGCCAAACAAGGCCTAAGAGGGGGAGGTCGACCCCCAACACCGAAATGACCTTCATGAAAAATCTTAAGCAGACAAATACAAGACTTTTTTCAGTTATACCCAAAGCTTAAATCAGTATGCAAGATAGGTTAAAGACTAGTGCAAGATTGGGGAATATAAAGTAAATAGTGTTACCCTTGAAGAACACTTCAAGAACAGCAAGCTCAGCCCTCTTCTTCTGATCAAAACCGACCTAAAGCTCTAAGAACAAACCCTCAAGACCTCCAAAGTCGAAGTATGGTGTAATAGTAGGTGTCTTAGTACAAAACTAAGAATTAAATACACTTTTAGACCCTCAAACACACACAAGATGAAGAGAGAGAGAAGATATATATATCAGAATATATATGTTTTAGGTCTGATTTTGCTGAACCTGCCAAATGGAGAAGAGAGGTCTCCTTATATAGACCATGGAAAAGGCTAAGCTTCCAAGAGAAACTATCCTAAAGGGGTCAAGTCTTCCAAGGGAAGCTAAGCTAAGGGTGCAAGCTTCTTGAGGAAGCTAAGATAAAGGGTCAAGCTTCTTCAAGAAGCTTGAGCAAAGGGTGCAATCTTCTAGAAGAAGTTTGGATCAAAAAGGGTGCAAAGGGGCCAAAACAGCCACACATGTGTGTGAGGGTAGGGTCTGTGCATCCCAGCTGGCACAGCTAGCATGCACCATGCCTGCAAGAGGCAAAAATGTGGTACTGACCAGAAAAGAAGGCCATCGGCCAACTAAATGGTCGGTCGACCACACAAATGCCGATCGGCCATCACCAATGGTCGGTGGCAAGAAGACACGGCCGGTGGCCTCAAGCCATGGCCGGTGAGGAGTGAGGATGGCCAACAAGCCATTCCCTGCCCTCCAAACAAAAACACAAGTGTTTGGTGCAAAACCAAACACAACACAGTCGAGTCGAGAGGTCCTAAGGCAAGGCGCGTAGCCGAGACCTCTGGGAACTCAAGATGAACACAAACGTAGATGATCACCGAGTGTTCAAATGGTGACGTCCAAGTCTTGAGGACGGTCAAAAATGGGGTGTCTACAATAGGTTGCTTTGTTTACTAATCCCATTTTTAAAAACTTAGTTATGGATTCTTGGAATAATGCTAACAATTCAATCCTAGAAGCCATCCTGTCAATTACTTCTAAAGCTATCCTATGGAATAAAAACATTTTTGGTAACATTTTTCGTAACAAACGATAGCTTCTAGGTAGAATTGAGGGCATCCAAAAGGTCCAGCTTGTTAAGTTTTTGCTTAATCTATTTGTTCTTGAAAAAGAGCTGATTAAAGAATATAATAATGTTCTCTTCCAAGAGGGATTGTTTTGGTTTAAAAAATCCCGTACCAAGTGGCTTACCATGGGCGAAAGAATAGATTATTTCACGTTTCTACTTTGACTAAAAGAAGGAAATCTAGAATTAACACTCTGAAAATAAAATATCCTTCAATATAAAGGAGGGTTAAAGAAAAATGGAAAATAAAACCATCTACAAAAATAAGGCTTGAGGAAGAGGGAAAAAGAATGGAACATTTTATAACATGCAAAACAAAACAACTAATTAAACAAATCTTAATCAATTAATTCTTGCTTGTTTAAGGGCAAAACATAAAATAACACAATTACCATTATGTTAAAACCAATAGTGATTTGATCTTCAATCATTATAACAAACAGATAATCATAGCTCAATCATACCATGGTAGCAAAAGTAAGATATAATGAAACCAGTCACTACCAAATATGAACAATCCTATTATCCATGTTCACTGTAAACATCAACCTTAGATGAAAAGGGATTATGTTACAACAACGTGACCAATTTAAGTGTGAAAGAATCATGTCACCGACCTTTTAGTTTCATGGCAAGAGAAATGATAAGAAGAAGAACTAGAACTAGTAGCTATCATATTACAATAAATAATCCATGAAACATGCTTGGCAAACCTATATGCAATCAAAGCAAAGATGGTTTGATCGCATATGAGTTCATATGCTCATAACGATAGAATAAGAATAAAGAATTAAACTAAAACTAGAAACCCTAACTATGAACAAGAACAAAAAAACAGAAAATAAAGTAGAAAATTAAAATAAACCTACTAACCTTAAATGTGAAAAACCACCACTAGAAAAGCCTTTCCATCCTTAGGACCTCATTCTTCAAAGAGGAACTCCCAACACACCTCTAAATTAAAGCACCCAAAGTGAACTCGACACGAAAACTTTTGAAGTAAAATGGTCAAATTTCGCACAAGAGTGTAAAATGGCCTTTTGAATTTTCGTTAAGGATATCTTCCTCGACTAAAAGATTCAATGAAAAATAATGAAGTATGGAGGGTTTTATATAGGACTCTAGGGATAGGTTTGAAAGTTCAAATTCAATGTAGGATTCATAAAAACAGATTAAGATAAGATCAACTACACAATCGAGATCAAAATGAAAAAACAAAACGCCACAGGCAAAATGGCCACAAAGAGCTGGCTTGTCTCTTTCTAAGCCTAGAAAAGTGAATGGATAGTTGATTCGGCTACCCTAGCCTGGGCGCATGCTGTTTTATTTTTTTCCCCACTATTTCTAAGGGTTTTATGTTCCAAAACATGGTTTTTAGGTGTAGGCTTTTAAAATATTTTGAAAATAATTTTATTTATAATTCAATAAGCCCAATTTGAAATAAAAGAGTCCCGGTCCAAGCACGGTCATTACTTGTTGAAAATCAATGAGCAACTATAAAATGACTATCCAATCTTCATTTTAAATTGAATTCAAGTGAATCTTATATCATTAGGAAGCTCTTTAAATTGGTATTTAAAAAAAAGAATTCACATATAATGTTGCACAAAATCGAAACCCTTTGTTTGGACAAAAAGGGAAAAATTAAGTTCTGGAAGCAATTTGACCCTGAGGTCCATAGGGATTCAAATTGGCTTTAAAAAGGTTGGTTAAGTTATTTTTCTAATCTAAAATTTTCACGACCCCATCCCGTGCCAAACAGGATAGTGATCGGCCAGTAGTCGTGGGTTATCAAAGCCCTGACTTTCAAAACAAGTTGGACTTTTAATAATAATTTTGGCAAATTTTCCATTTACAAGTGCATAAGCCACTATTTTCTTATATTGAGTCCATTTAAAACATCTATTCAGAGCACTGCATAACTATATGTAATGAAATTATACATTCATCTTGGATTATTATCTTGCTATTACATGATTTATACGACAAAAATATATACAACACTTATGGTAAAGCTTTACAAATCTAGCACAAGCATACAAGACCGACTTTTATTCAGACTTCTCTTCGTAATCGAACTCTTCATCACCTACATATATTTAAGAGAAAAGGGTGAGCCTGTAGTGATCCGAATCCGCCCCTAGAAGTTTGGATCATGACCGCCCAGTAATCATAGATTACCTACGGCCTTCAGATAAAATTACAAAGTATTTTTTTATATCGAGGCCTGAAGCGGGAGCATATTAAAAAAAAATGATTAATAAAGTTGTTCATTGAGCCATGCATAAATGGCATAAACAAAAAATTCAAACATATTATAACCCACTTACAATACATACTCATGGAGTACAAATTCATAGTTATACAAAACATAAGCTTATGCACATGACTTGGTCAAACTTGACTTGAACAAAAACAAAAACTAAAGCCTTAACATGGAGGAATTTCTTCGGTTAACTTCACAAAACGAGCAGACTCCCAAGCAGATTATGTAACGCCCCAATTTCCGGGCCGTTAATAAATCAAATCAACCTCAAATTTATAATTGCAGATAACTTATAATCTCAAATATACAAATCGTCTCTATAAATAATTAACACAAATGTCTCCAAAATATAAATTATATAAATCTCCAAAAATAATATATAGTTGTGGGCCCACAAATCTCCAACTCAAATAATATCTTTAGAACTTTAAATCCGATCTCCACTAAATTCCTCCGCACCTGAAAAATAAATTAATTCGGGAAATATACAATACAGTAGGAATAACAAGGCTCAGACAGAAAATAAATCAACAGGGATCTAACAATTACACAATTGATTCGATTCGATAATCAAGAAATTACCCAATTGCACAAATAGACTAACTCAACATATGACAATTTATCCAGACCAAATACCTGGTCCTACTCAATACATGACCAGTGACCGGCCTCACCCACCTCACCCAAGCACAACCGTTTATCCGAGCTATTGGTCCAAGCTATTGGTCTAAGCTATTGGCAAGGTCCACTTGATCCATGTACGGAGCATTTCCACGTCATTTAGCCAAACAAATCAACACTAACTACATAGAACAAATTCACAGAATTTATCAAGTGACTAGAATAATCAAACATATTAACGAGAATGATTTCACAGAATTTAACAAATGATCACAATAATCAAGAGGATTATAAATTGGAAGTAAGTAAAATAAACTCTTTGCAAAGAGATTTAAAGGAATCATATTGTATACCACTCAAATTACCTCAAATCAATTCCATGACCAGTTGATGCAAAATCCCTCCAACACCAATGCTTTAATCATCTGCTATATCATCATAAATCTCCAAAGGATGTGGATCCAAATGGCACGTAAAGTTTAACAAAATTTACAATTCTCCTCTTGAATAAAATGCTAACTCTCACTCTAAATACTCTTAATCTAAACTCTAGATCTATATAACAAATGGAGGAGAGAGAGAGAGAGAGAGATGAAGCAAAAACAAAGGATGAAAGAACAAGAATGATGGAAATGGTTAAGAGGTGAGCTCAATTTATAAGCAAGGATACTTGGGACAAAATAAAAGGAAGACTTGGGGCAAAAGAAAATGAACCTTACTTGGTGGGTAAGAAAAAAGGGGTTTGCTTGGAGAGAAAGGAAGATTAAAGAAATTAAAAATAAAAGATTACTTGGCAAGCAAGGAAGTGAAGGGAAAATAATAAAATAAAATTTACTTGGTGCCCAAGAATAATAAAAAAATTAGAAGACAAAGGAGATGAATAATAATGAGGTGGAGATAAAAAGAGATAAAATAAATGGAGAAAATAAGTTAGATTCTCATCTAAGAATCTCACCACCAAACTACCACCAATACCTCTCACTAAAATATTATTACCTCAAAAATACGGGGTTTCACAGACTATTATCCTAGGTAGGCAACCCAAGAGATGGGGGTAAATTGGGTCGTTAAAAATAATTTCACAATATTAATTATAATAATCAAAATATTGGAATTTTAACAAATAAAATAACAGAGCAATAATAATTAATATAAAAGTAAAAGAGATACGGAGAGAAAATCAAACACAGTGATTTAAAGTGGTTCGGCACATCGGGCCTACGTCCACTTCTCAAGGATCTTCCTCAAGAATTTCTTCACTAGCATAATTTGATGTTGAGTTTTGGGTGTTTAGACCATGACTTGAGATAAAGTTTATTGGCTCTACTTTGATATACAATTAGGTCATGTTTGGCTTATGAGTAATTTAATTTAAGACTTATTATTTAAAATTAATTTAATTTGAGTTTGTTTATTACTCATGTTTTGTAACAACCTGTTTTGAGTGACCGCTCGAGTGGTCAATTGGTCACTCGAGCGGATAAGTAGAGCTTCCAGTATCTTGCTTGCTTGCAGGCGAGACCTCTTGAGTGGAAAAATGGTCGATCGAGTGAAGATATCAAGCTTCCAGTAGTTTCACTGTAGCTCTGCAAATCTTTTGAGACCTTGGTTTACCGCTCGAGCAGTGGATAGTTTGCTTGAGCGGTTTGCTTGTATTATGTGCATCACTCGAGTGATGAAAAGTTCGCTCGAGCGATCTGTTCAAGGCAGAAGTGTTAAATTTCAAACCAAACACTTTTTAGTCACACTTTTTTACACTCATTTTCTCTCTAAACCCTTTTTTTCTGAAAACCTAATCTCTGAACACTAGATTTCATCTATTTTGAGTTAGAATCCATCCTTGCTCGTTTATCAAAGTTGTTCATCTTATCAAGGGCTACATTTTGAACCAATTGGATATTGCTATTGTCACTACAAGAATTTTCACTTTTGGCGACTAAATTTTTAGTCGCCAAAAGTCAATTTTTAGTCGCTGATGGGCTTTAGCGACTAAATTTTTTGGTCGCAAAATTAGTTGTCGAAGAGCAGTCGGGAAAGCTAATTGGCGACTAAACTTAATTTAGTCGCCAAATGTATTCATTTGCCGACTAAATATTTAGTCGCCAAAAGGTTGGAAAATTAATTAAATAATACATTTTTGCCAACCAATTTTTTGTCTCCAAAAGCCAATGATTTAGTCGCGGAAAAATTTTTAAGTACTAAATTTTTTAGTCGCCGAAAGCAAATACTAGTGTTTTGGCTACTAAAATTTTTGTCGCATAAAGTCAATCTTTTTTTGCTACTAAAATTTTAGTCGGCAAATACTATTTCTTTTGGTTACTAAAAATTTAGTCGCCTAAACTTCCTCATTTTTGGCTACTAAAAATTTAGTCACCTAAACTCCCACATAATTTTTAGTCGCTGATGGGCTTTAGCGACTAAATTTCTTGGTCGCAAAATTAGTAGTCGAAGAGCAGTCGGGAAAGCTAATTGGCGACTAAACTTAATTTAGTCGCCAAATGTATTAATTTGCTGACTAAATATTTAGTCGCCAAAAGGTTGGAAAATTAATTAAATAATACATTTTTGCCAACCAATTTTTTGTCTCCAAAAGCCAATGATTTAGTCGCGGAAAAATTTTTAGGTACTAAATTTTTTAGTCGCCGAAAGCAAATACTAGTGTTTTGGCTACTAAAATTTTTGTCGCCTAAAGTCAATCTTTTTTTGCTACTAAAATTTTAGTCGGCAAATACTATTTCTTTTGGCCACTAAAAATTTAGTCGCCTAAACTTCCTCATTTTTGGTTACTAAAAATTTAGTCACCTAAACTCCCACATTTTTTGCTACTAAATTTTTAGTCGCCAAAAGTATTTTTATTCTTCAACTTTTGTTTTTAGCTACGAAATATTTTAGTCGCCAAATGTTTGATTTTCTTTTGACTACAAAACTTTTAGTAGCAAAAGGTTTGATTTTCTTTTGGTTACAAAACATTTAGTAGCCAAATGATTGTTTTTCTTTTGCCTACAAAAAATTTAGTAGCCAAAAGTTTGATTTTCTTTTGGCAACAAAGCATTTAGTAACCAAATGGTTGTTTTTCTTTTGCCTACAAAAAATTTAGTAGCCATATGTTTGATTTTATTTTGGCTACAAAACGTTTAGTCGGCAAAAACATGATATTATGTTTCATTACAAATATTATAATGTGTCCATAACCTGTCTGTATTCCATGCAACCTGTAATACGTATATAAATAAAATGATACATAAACTATCAAACATTCCACAATCTGCATTCGTATACAAAAAATAAATTACTTTAACTGTCCAAGTACATACAAACCAACTATTGTCCAAACTAAAATAATAATTCCATACACCATATAAAATCATACAAAAAGTAAAGCCCTCCATATACAAAAATTACATTTACTATACCATGTGAAATGACCATTTGGCATGGTACAAATTACCATCGTAATCTGTATCACGACAAAAGGTGATGTATGTACCAAGCCAAAAGTACATCTATGTACCACGATAAAAAATCATATATCTATACGACGATAAAAGGTGATCTATCTACCATGCCAGTAATTATCTGTTCGCTGCCAAAAGTTTTTTGTATCAGTAATAGTTAACTACACAAAAGCCGGAGATGACAAAAGTATTATATTACTTCTATACAAAAGTACAATTTCTTCTCCATACACCAAAATATCTTTGGAAGTCCACGCAACAAAGTCATCTACAAAAAACCAAAAAAAACACTAGAATTGGACCCAAAAATGCCCAACTTCATGAATGAATTTGGCAACAAGTGACAAATAAAATAAGTGAGAAGCAACTAGGAATGGCAACGGGACGGGGCGGGGCGGGGCCGGGGATCACACTCCCCGTTCTCGATCCTCGATGGTCAAATTTCCCCCGGCCCCGGCCCCGATCCCCGACGGGAAAGCCATCACCGCCCCTGCCCCCTAACGGGGATCGGGTTTCCCCGACCCCGAACATTCCCCGGCCAAAAAAAAAAAAAAAACCTTCAGAAAATACAACAGCAACTGTGTAAATCAGATCTGAACTTTGTGTAGAGTCCACCAAATCAAATCCCACAGAGAGAATATAATCAATGGAATATTCAAGAAATTAACAAAGAATAGAAATTACATTAGTGTGTTTATATGTACACACCATAACACATTTATTTCCTTTGGTGGACCAAAACAAAAAATCGAAAATAGAGCAACTTCAGTTTTCTTCTTCAGCTTGCTCAACTGCCTCGGCACTACGATCACTGCCGAAATCAAGTTATTATTCGGTGATAACGGAGTCGCCACCTCAACCGCCGTGTAATGAGACAGATCTGAAACAGATCTGAAATTTGTGAAACAGATCTGAAAACCAAAAAAAAAAAAAACTAATCGGCAGTGTGAGACGCGGTGGTGGTGAGAGATGCTGTGGTGATGGTGGTGGTGCGAGGTGGAGGCGACGAGCGGAGGAGCCGACTGCGTAGCAGTCTGTGGAGTGAAGAGAGAGAGAGAGAGAGAGAGAGAATTTTCACCCCCTTAACGCCCTTTTTCAGTTAAGTTTAAGATGTTTTCGGCTCTAACTCCCAACCTACACGTGCTGATGACATTCCGTCTCTTGTCACAGGTCCTATTTGGCATAAGGAAACTGTTGTGACGTTCGTACAGTGGTTCGGGGGTGTTTTGCATTTTCGTCCCCTTAACGCCCCTTTTTAGTTAAGTTTAAGCTGTTTCCAACTCTAACTCCCAACCTAAACGTGCTAATGGCATTTCGTCTGTTGTCACAGGCCCTATTTGAAGTAAGAAAATTGGTTATGACATCCGTTCAGTGATTCAAGGGCTGTTTTGCATTTTCGCCTCCTTAACGCCCTTTTTTAGTTAAGTTTAAGCCGTTTTCAAGACAAATAAAAATAAGTGAGAAGCAACCTTCCATGATGAATCAATTATCAGTCAGCCTACAGTCCTTCTAAAGTCTTTTGTTATAAGGAACATTGTTAAATGCAGAACAGTCATTACTAAATCTTTCATTAGTAACATAAAGCTAATGCAACAATCTTCTATTTGTATGCAACATGTATCCAAATTCTGTGGCTAAACCAATATCAAAGCCCAATGTGAATAGAAAGTATTCTTTTTACCAACTTCCTCATTATTTGTTTGCAAAAGGCACTTGAATCATTAGAT